GACATAATTAAAAATAATAATATGTCATAAATTCTAACTTTTATTTTTCTTTTTACATCTACATGTACTAAAATAGTTATAAATTCGAACATTTCATTTTTACGTTTCATTTATAGCAAATGTGAAGTAAAATGCTCATGAAGTATTTAGTTAACTAATTAAACAAATTTCTCCATTTTTATACATAAATGTAACAAAAAGAAATATATTTTGTTTTCAGATATAATTTTCTTATATTATTACAATTGATCGTAATTCTTAACATATGTGAATGCATATCACATTAGAGACCACCTTTATTTTGAAAAATTAAGGCCTAAATAGTGGTAAATAATGTGTGATATCAATTAATATATTATTTTAGTGGTTGTAATCCAAAAAAGTAATGTCTACTTTATTTTGAAAAAAAACCTAAACATTTAATTATAATATTCTCATTTTAATTTCATTTATTACAATTGTTCATCCATTTAAATAACGCTGATTGCTGATCATTTATTACTATTATTTTTTAACGTTCATACATTTTAATTTCATTTATTACTACTTTAATTGTTGATCAGTTGCAAACTTATAATTAATAATTAATAATTACTTTGAATAAATACTGCCGATCATTAGGATAGAAATAAAACCGATAAACATGTCTAAGGGAATAAAAACAGATATTGTCATTTTATGTGGTGCTTATTGGTAAGATCGGTGATGCTATTCAAAGTCTTAGTATATTTTTATTGTCATGCTACAAATTTCAAAATCATTATTAGATATGTAAAACCCTAACTATAAGGGAAAGTGGATTGAGATAAAATATGGTCATTCTTAACAATTGATCGTAACAAAAAGAAATATATTTTGTTTTCAGATATAATTTTCTTATATTATTACAATTGATCGTAATTCTTAACATATGTGAATGCATATCACATTAGAGACAACCTTTATTTTGAAAAATTAAGGCCTAAATAGTGGTAAATAATGTGTGATATCAATTAATATATTATTTTAGTGGTTGTAATCCAAAAAAGTAATGTCTACTTTATTTTGAAAAAAAACCTAAACATTTAATTATAATATTCTCATTTTAATTTCATTTATTACAATTGTTCATCCATTTAAATAACGCTGATTGCTGATCATTTATTATTATTATTTTTTAACGTTCATACATTTTAATTTCATTTATTACTACTTTAATTGTTGATCAGTTGCAAACTAATAATTAATAATTAATAATTACTTTGAATAAATACTGCCGATCATTAGGATAGAAATAAAACTGATAAACATGTCTAAGGGAATAAAAACAGATATTGTCATTTTATGTGGTGCTTATTGGTAAGATCGGTGATGCTATTCAAATTGACAAATAATGTATAGTAATCACTACCTGCAAATTAGTATGTATGCTTTAGTTAAAAAAAATCTAAAAATTTAATTAAATTTTTCTCATTTTCATTTATTAATATTGTACACACATTTTCATTACCATCTTTAAAATATTTTAGCAGTTTTAATCCTAAATAATTAAGGTCTCTAATATTTTGAAAAAGAATGGAACTAAGTAATTACAACTATTCTATTTCAATTATCATTTATTACTAAAATTCCATTTTTATATATTAAAATATTATTTTCGAAGTTTTCATACTAAATGGTTAAACCCATATTTTTTTAAAAAAAATCTAAGTAATAATTACAATGTCCCCTTTTGTATACTTTAAAAAAAAATTAAATAATAAACCAATTACACAAGTAATAAAAAATAATATCCTAGAAATAAAAGAAATTATAAACAAGTTACATTAAGAAATAATAACAATAATATCATAAAATTAAACAAGTTTTCCATATGTACGTGTATATTAAGAATTAGCAATATAAGTTTTTATTTTATTTATTAGTTACCCAAATATATAGATTATAGAATATGAAAATCAATAAAAAAAATGTACAAAAATATATGGGTAATATGTATGTTCTTAGCAGTGCGAATGTATGGATAACATGTGTGTTTTTAATCATGTGATTGCACTGATCACATGTGTTCTTAACAATACGAATGCACATGTAACATGTGTGTTTAATCATTCGAATGCACGAATAACATGTGTGTTCTTAACCATATGAATGCACATGTAATTTGTGTTTTTAATCATACGGCAAAAATATTACCTCATGCAAATGCACGACTTATTTGCTAATTTAAATGATAAGGAAGTAAAGATCATATATACTTAATAGAATAAAAACAACTAAAGTCATTGGAAACGGTTGTCACGTAAACACATGTATCTTAGATACATGTGACTTTACTCATTGGATGAGATTAGCCATAGGATGCGTTAATTTGTTTTCCTTATATTATTTATTCTGATTTAAAAACATCTTAAACATAGGTAATCACTAATGTATTTTTATTCCCCAATTTAATTTTTTATTCATAAAACATGAGGGAAAGATAATAAATTAATTTAAAATAGTTGGTTCAATAAAAAATACATTTTAAACAAAATTATTATGGTTCCACGATATCTCTTTTTAGTGGTGACAAAAACCAAATTCAATTTGATTGACAAAGTTTCTATAGAGAGAAACGAGGCTCCCCATAAGACAAGGCAATAAAAAATTCAAAAAATGCTTTTCAAAAATGCATGCAAAAAAATTTAAATAGAAAATAAGTAACACAAATGATTGTAAAGTTATCAATGTCTAACAAATAAGATAACAACCTTGCATACCAGATATATTAGAATATCATATGAGACCAACTATAAAGAATGCAACTTCTAGTATATGACATGAACAATTATAAGATTAACTGATTAAAAACTAAGTTGGAGAATACCATACAATTTAATTTCTCTCAATTATTTCTTGTTTTTTTTGTCATTAAACATAAACTTAAAAGGTGCAAGACAACATTTTCAAGGAGAATATACAAAGGTTATAATTGAATGTGCGAAGAAAATATATCAAAAATGGTGGTTCAGTGTATGAAGTCCCACTTAACAGGATTATTTCCAAAATTTAAACTCGTGAGGGTGGTGGTACAAGAGGGTTGAGATTTGATGAGTTCTGAGGTTTTGGAGTATGAGTTCCCTTAACACTTTGAAGCAATGATTGAAATTGCAAACTGCATTGCCTAATGCAACCGCAATATTGTAGTTGCGGTAATTGCTGTAACCGCATCACACCGCAATTGGGGTGTGACTCTGAATCACAATGACACGACTATATCAGGCTGAAATCCAACTGCATCGGACTACATGAGGCCATAACAACCACAATAACCACAATCGCTATAACCGCAACCATTACGACAATCGCGTCCGTAACCGTAATTTAAAACATTGCTTTAAAACCTGGTTGCGGTCGCGATTACGGTAATGGTTGCGGTTACTGCGATTGCGATCATTGCAACCGTTGCAATGCAGATTGTGGCCGTTGCGGTGTGAATTTTTTGTAATTAAAACAATATTTTTGAATCCGATTCGGTTTGATGCGGTCCGATGTGGTTGCGTTGCGGTCCGATGCAGCCGCAACAGTATTTTGTTGCGGTTTTTGGTGTGAAATTCAATCACACCGCAATTGCGGTCGATGCATTATCGGCCCATCCGCATTGTTGCGTCCGCATTATGTATTGCGAAACACATTTTAGAACACTGGACATATCTTTTAAAGAAGATATAACCAAGATGTTGGAACAAAGTTGGAAGATCTAAATAGCAAGAAGTCTTATATATCTACAGCTTCTCCATAAGAGCTTGGGTGCACAAATTGCTTTCACTTAAACTCTTTTAACAAAGATCACAACACCATTAGCATAGATTTTTAATCTTTGATATTCTATCTTCTGAACTTCTGCTTTGACTATGGCATGAAATCTAATTGGTTATGATGGTGGCGGTGAATATGGTGTATCTAGTGGCTGATTTGTATGGATATAAAAGGGACAAGTTCCCAAAGTTACTAACAAGAAGGGACTCAACATAATTTGGTTACCCAAGACATGCAAGTAAACTTGTTGTGTATGTGTGCCTAAGAACATTTGGACATCAAATCATACTTGGACAAGAGATGTTCTAGGCATATGATAGGTGAGAAGATCAAGTTTAATTGACCTATCACCTAAGTAAATCGACAATGTCACTTATGGACAAAATTGTTAAAGTCAAATGCTTGAAGTTAGAAAGTTTATGCTGAAATATCTTTTCTAACTCTAAGTTTTAAGTGACATAAATTATATAATATCATTAAACGAAATCCAATATTTTTTTAATTATCTGAACACTTAAAATTTGGTTGGAATCATGAAATAATGGAGATTTAATACTTATAGTATGTACCAACATATGAAGTTTTGACATTATTTATAATTTTTAATAATTTGAGTTATTTGACGTGAATCCATCAAGTATATTTTATCTCTCTCCTTTTTAATATAAAATTTTATTTAAAAGCTACATTGGGAAACACTCGATGATCCAAATTGGAATTTAGCAATATGAGAAGAGTTGAATGCGGTGAAAAATAATGATCCAAATTGTGATTTATCTTTATGAACAAACCAAAGTACATTATGGATCTTCTATATATCTATATATCTATATTAATTGAAGGGGCTGGTGAATTTATCAAAATGAACATCTTATATGTTTGACACTTGGTTTTTTGAGGAGTAAAAATATCTTTACGTTTTCAGCATTTTAAAGAATTGAAAAACCTTAATAATTCTATTTTTACTATAATGTCCCGGATCTTCTTTCTATTTTATTTTGAATGTTGGGGATATTTCGGTCATTTGCCATTTCAATTATTACACTTCTATCACCATTTATTGCTGCAGTCGGACAATTACTAAAATATCCTTCAAATTTACACAAGTAAATGACATAAAAAGGAGGGTTAATTTCGTAAATTCCTTTCTTTTACACTCTCACTTTTCTTTTCTCTTTTCTTTCATCACTCTCTCATTTCATTACTCTTTCTCATTCTCTCTCATTACTCTCTCAAAATTCTACTTTCTTCATTTTAGTTCAATCCATCTTCTTCTTTCTTTTTCATTTTAATCTTCATCATCACTCTTCACAAAGGTATACGTATCTCATCTTTTTTGTGTATATTTTGATTTTAATCACATTTTTCTATTCATCATTTTTGTTTGAGGTAAAGGGTATTCGTCATTTTGTAGATCAACTTCTTCAAGGTAAACATATTCCTCATTTTTCGTTATATTTTTTTTTATTTGTCATAAAAATGACAACTTTGACACATACTTTGTTGGTTTTAAGTGTGTTTTCACCATTTACATATGTGATTCTTTGTTGTTGTAGCGTGTTTTATGAGAAATATTTTGCATGCATATGGTTTGTGTGTCTCAATTGTATTGATTTCTTTGTTTTGGTTGGTTTGATGTTCTAACGTTGACCTTTATGGTAATGATCCTAAGATGTTTGATGAAATGTATAAATGATTATGTTTTAAGATTTAGGTATTTTCACTTTTTGTCATTTTTATGGTAATGATCATAAGGTGTTTGATGAAATGCATGAATGATTGTGGTTTAAGTTTTATGTGTGTTTAAAATTTCTTATGTTAAATAAAATCCTGAAAATTTAAGATTGTGATTAACTAGAAAAGTCTTTGTTTGGATATCACATTTTAAAACAAAGAGTATTTTAGAGAGAGCAATCAAAGTATATGACAAAAAACATGAGATTTCTTGAGGTTTCTATTTGATTTTTCATATTCCATGGTTATTTGCCCTCATATTTCTTTAAAGTAACATCTTTAGTAACATGCAATTTATATATGTTATTTTTCTGTTGGTTGAATCATACAATATTTTGATTTTTAAATTTATCAGGATGCCTTTTTAAAAAAAAAACATAATACTATATAATGTTATTATAGACGACCTTACTAAACATATCATAAGCTGTAGTTTACACATATTACAAAATGTATGATAAATAATAATATTTATTTAATAAGTTCAATCTGTCATATACAATTTAATATTATAGTATTTTGAAATATGCATATTCTGCATTTTGATGAAAGTGTTAATTAGTAAATTACTAATAGTTATTATACTTACATATCAATTATTTTAGTTTGATGTTAATCCAAGTGAAAATTATTGTTCTTATTATTCACATGATAATGCATAACTTATGTCTTAATTTATTTTTTCAGGTCAATCACCATAACAATTTATAATGGTGATGATCATTGCTTTACTTTTAAAGTTGCAGCTGAGTTGACATATTATTTTCAAAATAACTTTGGGAAACACAATTAAATCAACTTAATTAACATCTTAATAACAATGGATGAGATTCCTAGAAAAAAGTAAATTTTCTGCCATCATTTTTAAATTTTAAAACTTGACACAATTTCATATTATTTTGCATTAAATTGTTGTACCATATCTCCATTTCCATTCTAAACATTTCATTTCTTATTTTTCCATTCATTTTTCATACATTGATAACATTCATTGTTATTTATAGCTCATAATTATATTTAATGAATTATATATTTGACAATTTTTTAATCCTTAGAGTATTGTAGAAAGAGCAATCAAAGTATAGGACAAAAAACATGAGATTTCTTGAGATTCATAATTGCTATTTGATTTTTCATATTCCATGGTTATTTGTCCTCATCTTTCTTTAAGGTAATATCTTTAGTAACATGCAATTTATATATGTTATTTTTCTGTTGGTTGAATCATACAATATTTTGATTTTTAAATTTATCAGGATGTCTTTTTAAAAAAACATAATACTATGCAATGTTATTATAGACAACCTTACTAAACATATCATAAGCTGTAGTTTACCCATATTACAACATGTATGATGAACAATAATATTTATTTAATAAGTTCAATATGTCATATACAATTTAATATTATAGTATTTTGAAATATGCATATTCTGCATTTTGATGAAAGTGTTAATTAGTAAATTACTAATATTTATTATACTTACATATCAATTATTTTAGTTTGATGTTAATCCAAGTGAAAATTATTTTTCTTATTATTCACATGATAATGCATAACTTATGCTTTAATTTATTTTTTCAGGTCAATCACCATAAAAATTTACAATGATGATGATCATTGCTTTACTTTTAAAGTTGCAGGTGAGTAGACATATTATTTTCAAAATAACTTTGGGAAACACAATTAAATCAACTTAATTACCATCTTAATAACAATGGAAGAGACTCCTAGAAAAAAGTAACTTTTCTACCATCATTTTCAAATTTTAAAATTTGGCATAATTCCATATTATTTTGCATTAAATTTTTGTACTATCTCCATTTTCATTCTAAACGTTTCATTTCTTATTTATTAATATTAAAATTTGGATTTTGGGTGGATGTGGATAAGTATATAGATACTTCACGAATTTGGTTGTATGGAAGAAGGGGTATATTAATATTGTCTCATAATAGAACATAGGGAAAGAACGAACCAAACATGAATTCATGCATTTGAGTATCCAACTGTGGATACAAGGTTTAATGATGTTTTCAACAAAGCTATGGTCAATTGTACAACTATAGTTATGAAAAGAGTTCTTGAATTTTACAAAGGTTTTGAGCACATTAATAAATTGGTAGATGTTGGTGGTGGTCTTGGGATAAATCTCAATCTCATTACTTCCAAATATCCTCATCTCCATGGTATTAATTTTGACTTGCCTCATATCATAGAACATGCCCCTACCTTTGCTGGTATGATATGATCCTCATTTTATTAGTTTCATTATTTGTTGCAAATTCCTATCCAAATAAGTTTTTTTTTAATTTGGTGAATTATCCAAAGAAGATTTATAAGCCTTCACAACTTTTGTATATCATGTGATATAAATATATATAAATGTTGCAGGCGTGGAACACGTGGGAGTAGATATGTTTGAGAGTGTTCCTCATGGAGATGCCATTTTTATGAAGGTGGGTTTTTCCTTTTGTAGGAAGGAATTATTTTTCTATAATTTCTCAATATTAAATTCTCATTATTAGTTCCAATACATTTAAGTTTATAGTAGCCTTAACTAAGAAGTGTATTTTGTGGACTAATATTGTCGGTGGATACTTCAAGATTGGAGTGATGAGCACTGCTTGAAGCTGTTGAAGAATTGCCATAAGGCTACCCATGATGATGGAAAAGTGATTGTTTTAAAAGTACAACATGTGATAGCAATGGTTCATTTTATTAGTTTTATGATACTTTTTAAGCAATAGTTCATTTATTGCAACTATATTTCTCTTGCATAATTATTACTCTTCCACCAACTTTTTAAAAGTACAACATGTGACAGGTTGTGACACAACTTCCAAGCTTCATCACATGATGTGACTTTTCACTTATCTTTGTTTCTAATATCTTTATCTTCTTACACATTCAACCTTTCATTTCTTGCATATATTCTTTTTATACATTAGTTTATGCAGATAATATTCATTAAATTATATATGTAAATAACATATATTTATTTATTTTTTGTTTCATTGCATGTCAACATGTTTTTTTCTTCATATCATTGGGAAAATAACTAAATCTAAAATCTTCTTTAATAAAAATTGATGGGGTTGTGACTATTACCAAAATAGTTATCTCATTTAGTTGACACTTAGATTTTATTTAAAGGAGTATATTTGTAATTACATGATTTATTAGTTTAGTAAAATAATAAAAGGAAATTGTGTATAGTATATTACTAAAAAGTAAATAACATTTTACTTTACTTATGCTTATACTTGTGGTGAGTTGATTGACTCTTTAGATAATAATGGATACAATCAAATAATATTGACTACAAAGGTTATGTTAAACTCACTTACAACCTTTACTCTATTGTGAAATATACTGACCAACAAATTTTTTAACTCACTTACAACCTTTGATATTTCCAAATCTTAATATCATGTTGAAAGGTGAAAATCCAATAATGCTATTGAGAAATTTAGACCAATATGAATGATTATGTCGTTTATAAAGGATGGTCAGCCACTAAAGATAACAATAAATGACATTTATAAATATGTTTTCCAAAATCTCTAACCTATATTTTACAATTTATTTTACATCATGGTCCAAACTTTTTATCATAACAATTATTTATTTACTTAATATAACAAGTTCAATATTATCTCATTCGTTAACAACTCAATGGTAAAATACATATAAATTATCTTTTATGAGGTAATCCTCCTTAATATTCTTATTAATAAATTATGTTGTTATTCATTAATTAAATTCATGCAAAATACAATATCACCCTGCGAATGCATGGATATACAAAGTCTTAGTATATTTTTATTGTCATGCTACAAATTTCAAAATCATTATTAGATATGTAAAACCCTAACTATAAGGGAAAGTGGATTGAGATAAAATAGGGTCATTCTTCTCATGTAATATTGTGTCTAATCTAGCATTATTCATTATACGTAGCATATAAGTTATATCACCATGAAAGTATTATTTTGTGGTACCTAAAATATCATCTAATTTCGGAAAAATTACACCTTTTATTTATGTTGAATAGACTAATATTATTTTGACTTTTCGATTTATGTTGATATTTAATTTAATATTAATTCTAGGCTAAACCCTAACTATAAGGGAAAGTGGATTGAATCTTTATACAATAAAGTTTGACTTTATAGAATAAAGTTTGACTTTATAGAATAAAGTTGGAATTTTTTATGGTATAGAATAAAGTTGAAATTTTTATATAAGAAATTTTGAATCTTTATGGAAGAAAGTTTGAATCTTTAACAAATCTTTGGAGATTTTCATATTGTTGGTGAACCTCTCTTAGTGTTTAACATATCTTAGTCTTTATAAAGAATAATGTTGTGTTAAAGGAAATTTATATGTTTCATGTCAAGGGAAATTTGCATTTGTTTAGAAAAAAATGAAATGATACTATATTTCTACCAATTTTTGTATTAGTAGGTTAAAAATCACAACTTTGATATATTACCAATGTTGTGTTAATAAAAATCACAACTTTGATATACTACCAATGTTGTGTTAATAAAAATCACAACTTTGATATACTTTTATATTGTCAAAAGTGTTAATGTCACGATTTCATCTTCACATGTTAATATTTAATTTAATATTAATTCTAGGCTAATCCAAAATCATTATTACTTATGACAAAGGCTATGAAAGTTTTAACTCAAATAATCCAATTAAGAAATTTAGACCAATACGAAGAATTATGTAATAATACAAGATTGATTGTAACTTAAATTGCAAATCATGTACTTGATGTAAAGATCATATATAGTCCTCTGATGTCAAGTCTTCATCCCAATCTCTAACGTCTTTCAAACTTATCGAAAGACAATTTCGTGCATTTATATTTATGTTATTACAATCAATAAATCTCAAGGTAATTCAGTAGAAATTTTGAGGTTATATTTACCTAGACGAATATTCAGTTACGATCAATTGTACATAGTTATTTCAAGAGTTAAAAGCAAGAAATGATTGAAGATTTTGATTCATGATAAGGATGATAACCCACTAAAGTCAACAAATTTGGTTTGTAAAGAAGTTTTTCAAAATCTTTAACATGTATTCATCAACTTATCTTTAATTATGCTATTAAAATTCTATTTCTAATCATTTTATTATTTCATACAATAGGTTTTACGCTATGTCATTCCACAACAACTGTTATGAATAAAAACTGTACATAAAGTTGATATCTTATCTGGTAATCATTAATAAATGTTTAGTTCACTAAATACTATATGATGTTTGTTACTTTCATTTAATAAAGTTAAAATCTTAAGGTATAAACTATTAGTTACGGTCCATTTAATTTTGTATTAATAATCTCGGAAGTAATTTTTAATATTCACAAATTATTGTGTCATTCTTTAATTAAATTAATGCAATTTTTTAATGGGATGATTAAATCTAACAAGACTTAATTAAAATATCTAACTCATAAGTGAATGAATTTTATTTTTATATCATATTTAATTTTGATTACTTTTATGTTCATTATTTCAAAATTAAGTATTCTAAGCATGTCTATAAATAACAAATTTTTGTTGCTATGCTCTAGAACATCGTTCCGTTGTGCCTATTATATATAGATATAGATTTAGTGGTAATACATATAGAGGATAAATCAACTTAGCGCAAGAGTAAGTGGAAACAACCTCATCCAAAACGGGTCATTATAATGAAGAGTAAGTGGACTTAAATTGTTTCTATTTAATTCACTATCAATGTTATTATAATGAAGAGATGTTGTTCATGTTATTAGTACGAGTGTTTCCAATATTTAAACATTTGAAACATAGTTAGTATCAATAAATGTTTAGTTCACCAAAATATTATATAATGTTTGTTACTTTCATTTAATAAAGTTAAAATCGTAAGGTATAAACTATTTGTTACAGTGCATTTAATTATGTGTTAATACTTTCGGAAGTAATTTTTAATAAAATTCATGCAACACGCATTACTACTAGAGTGTTTGGACGCAAAGATGCAGCAACACCCACGGAACCCAACGGAGGACAAAGGAATGTATTAACCATTTGTGTGGGAAGGCTAATATATCTATCTCTGATTATTCTCTCTCTAAGTCTGTCACATGACACATCAGTGGAAGGTTTACTTTGACCTCATATTAAAGGTCATCTTTTAGCTTATAACAATCATAAATCATTTGAGTTTTGACTCTAATGTCATTTTAAGGTTCTATCTTAAAACCAACAATTTATGATTAAAGTAATTATTTAAATCATTTCTAAACAATGAGACTGAAACTTACCTCCATCAAGTTCAAAATAAAATAAATAGCAAGTTTAATTAAACTTTTTTAATAAATTTATATCGACAAAACCTTTTAATGGTAAACATTGTTTTATGTTCACAATTTTTTACCACGTCTTTTAAGTATATCCTTATCAATTATCAAAAGATTATCTTAACAAATCTGTTTTTAGTTTTATCTTTATATTTGTTTATATTTATGTTTTGGTATCTCTTATTTCTCAACCATTGGATCAAAAGATATATTTTCTACAATCTTCGCATATTTAATAACAAAAAACAATCTGTTACATATTGAGATACATGACCATATTTGCATCATGTTTTGACTCTGCATAGGTGGAATTTCAAACAATAGAAGCAAAAACTAGACATGTATCACATAAAAAGTTCAACGATAATGCCATTTTTCTGACAAATTAGTTTACATATGAATGTGTTATTGTACTTATAAAATAGTCTTTAATGATAAAAATAATCTTATCATTTATTTTAGGAGAATATATAGAGTAATTTGTTATAAAACTATATCATTTTTCAAATTTGAATTCCTCCATTAATTGTTTGAACTTTGTTGATAAAGATATTTTTTAGAACATAGTGAACAAATTCATAAAAATTTGAGATTAAAAGTTTTTAATTTTCACATGTTAGACCAATCATACTCTAAAGTTTAATAATGCAATTGCTCATGGCTCATTTTTTATTTTTAATGTTATACTATATATATTAGTATTAAATTATATTTTTACGAGGCAATTGGATTGACATAGCTGTCAAACATAAAGTGTGAATATCTGACTTTAAACTCTGCTTAATTGACCCATTTCATCAAAAGACATTCCCTTGAAAAAATATGTATACTTTTTCTATTATTATTTTTTAATTTTCTCCATTTTATTGTTTCTGTCGATTTTCCCCCATTTTTAATTAGCTAGTCAACTATTAGAACTAATTATCATTATAACTTTTTTAATCATTTTTTATTCCTTTGAGTTTATCTATTTCTAAAAAAATGTTTAAAGTGTTAATATTATATCATTTAAAAAGTAATCCCATTTAATTGAAATAACTATTTTTACAATTACACATAGTCATATTTTATTTATATATTCAACGTACATAACAAGTTTATTTTTCATTTTAAATAGTACAAAATTAAAACAATTTTACCAAAATAATCGCATTCACCATTTTACAATTTGCTCTAGACCACAAAATGTGTTGAACCTCT